AGGTGATTTTAATGCACATTTAGGGTGCTTATATGGCACTCGAGGCTCTGGTGAGATGAATAGGCATGGTAGATTACTTCATAACATGTGTATTAGGTGTAATTTAAAGGTAGTAGATCTAACAAACAAATGTACAGGTCCCGAATTTATGTTCTATAGAGAATATATTGGGAAATCCTATATTGATCACTGTCTAATTTCTGAGGAATGTCTGAATAAAATAAAACATGTAAAGGTTATTGATGAAGAACTTTTAAATACATCCGATCATTTGCCATTGCAGGTTGTTCTGGAGATTTCATCTATGGTGCCAATCGCACACTCTACTGACAACTCGGCTGTCAAACTGGCCTGGGAAAGAATTGATGCATATGCGATCAGAGAGAAGTACACAGTACCCCTTGGAATTAAGGCACTTGAAATTGTTGAACGTTTTGAGCATAAATATAATCTATCAAACGAGGATTTAGACAGCGGTTTTGATGAGCTGACTGATATTCTGAAGGCTGTATCATTTGAAGCTATCCCAAATAAGCGATTTTGAAGGCACTTAAAGCCATACTGGTCAGATGTCTTGAGTAATCTATCAGTTGAAAACAAGAACACAAATGTGTACAATATGTCCCCACCTATGGGTGATCCTGTCAAATGGTTATCCTAAAAATGAGTAGACAAGACTTTACCGACACAATTTGAGGACGGAGAATCCAAAATGGCCACCTTAAAATTTACCAAGAATGCCCAAAAATTAGTCAGTTCTAGATTTTCATACTAAGAACCACCCCTGAAAATTTGAAATTGATCCGTCACACAGTTAACCAGAAAACATGTAAACAAGACTTTACAGACAAGATTTGAGGACAGAAAATCCAAAATGGCTGCCTTGACATTTATCCAGAATGCCAAAAACTAATCTGTTCTAGATTTTCATACTAAGAATCATCCCTGAAAATTTGAAATTGATCTACCAAACAGTTCACCTGGAAATGTGTAGACAAGACTTTACAGACGAGATTTTAGGACAGAAAATCCAAAATGGCTGCCTTGACATTTACCCAGAATGCCCAAAAACTAATCAGTTCTAGATTTTCATACTAAGAATCATCCCTGAAAATTTGAAATTGATCTACCAAACGGTTCACCTAAAAACGCGTAGACAAGACTTTACGGGCAAGATTTTAAGACGGAAAATCCAAAATGGCTGCCTTGACATTTATCCAGAATGCCGTAAAAATAATCAGATCTAGATTTTCATACTGAGAATCATCCCTGAAAATTTCAAATTGATCTACCAAACAGTTCACCTGAAAATGCGTAGACAAGACTTTACAGACAAGATTTTAGGACGGAAAATCCAAAATGGCTGCCTTGACATTTACCCAGAATGCCCAAAAACTAATCAGATCTAGATTCTCATACTAAGAATCATCCCTGAAAATTTGAAATTGATCTACCAAACGGTTCGCCTGAAAATGCGTAGACAAGACTTTACAGACAAGATTTTAAGACGGAAAAATCCAAAATGGCCGACAATAAAAAAGTGATTATGAGTTTTTGCTGAAATCTTTTTACAAAATTATCACATATAACTACTGTTAACAATAACATAAGCTTTTACAACAAAGTACACCTGAAATTATTTATAAAGCTACTAAAAAGTTAAAGTATGAAAACTGAAAAACACCATTCAATATGATACAAAGTATTATCGTGCGCTAACTTTTCTTAAAACATTCAAAATGGCTGACATGACTGAGCTAACAGGTCCAAAACCTAATCAGATCTAGAATGAAGTGAGCTGAACAAGATGTTAAAGTTTTAAAAGCAACTGTGAAGCCATTTTTCTTAAAGTTTGCAGACAAGGATTTTAGCATTTGACTTCAAAATGGCCGACAGGAAGTAGGTATTGAGTTAATTTTTTTTCATCCACATCTGTATGCACTCATAAGTTATCCCTGAAAATTTGAAGGTGATATCTGTAGCGGTTTTGGAGAAAACTGCCGGACGTACGGACGGACAGACAGACGGACAGACAGACGGACGGACAGACGGACGCGCCTAGGCCGACAATATGGCCCCACACTATGTGGTGGGGACATAAAAAGGCAGCTTATAGGTTATGGAGATCAGAAGGCAGGCCAAGGGATGCAGGCAATGCAGTCTGGATTAGGTACAAGGATACAAAGCGGAAATTACGGAAAGAATTAAGGAGAGCGGAATATGCTTATGAGATGAAATGCCAAAATGAGATTGACAATGCAAATGAGATCAGTATGAATCAGTTTTGGTTTATAGTAAAGAAACGCAGAAAAAGAAAGAATAGTGGTTACTCGATCCGAAGTGATGATGGTACCTTATTGACGCAGGATGATGAGATTCGAAATGAGTGGATGATGTATTTTAAAACATTAATGTCTAGTAAAGACGATGATAACTTCGATTGTGAACATCAGCAATATGTTAATATGATGGTTTTGGTTAATGAAATGATAGAGTATAGCAAGTTAAATGAAGATGAAGCCTTTAAGGAACCTATTAGCGAAGATGAAATGATGACGCTGATTAACTGTCTTTCAAGAAATAAAGCCACAGGGTGGGATGGTATAAGCTCTGAGCATATACGCTTTGGGGGGCAGACGGTCGTCAGATTACTCGTTATTTTATATAATGGCATTGTAAGACTGGAATATATACCAAACAGCTTCAGATTGGGAGTACTTCTACCAGTCTTTAAAGGTGGAAACAAGGACAGTTTGGATAAAGACAATCATAGAGGGATCACTCTCATGACTACCTTCATGAAGCTACTAGAGAGGCTTATGATCAATAGGAGTAGGTGTGCACCAAGGAGCGAACTTAGATGTAACATGCAAGCTGCAAATGAGAGTCAGGTGTCATGCCTTCACACGTCATTTCTAACAAGGGAAGCAATAAGTCATGGCCTCGAGAATGGGGAGGATGTAATTACTGTGGCTATTGATATTAGAAAGGCGTTCGACACCGTGTGGCACAATGGCTTATTGTTTAAAATGTACAATATCGGAATCAATGGAAAATTGTGGAGACTATTGAGATTGTGTTATAACGATTACAAATGCGCAGTAAGATGCAATGATATGAAGCTCTTTGCCCCCTTTTCCATCTCCCAGGGTGTCCACCAGGGGGGCCTATACTCGATGGAGCTGTATGGGCAATACATGAACAGATTGCTGTTAAACATCATACAGTCCTCGAAGGGTTGCTCTATAGGAGATGTTATATGTACGTGTCCCTCTTATGCTGACGATACAGTTATAATTGGATATCACAAGAAGTCTGTACAGGATGTGTTAAACTTAATGTACGATTATAGCCTGCAGTGGCGATTCAACTTCCACCCTGACAAGTGCAAAGTGATTGTGTTTAGCAACAGGAGGGCACAGGATCTTAAAGTGGACCTTTTCTTTGGTGACACAAAACTCCAAACTGTCAATTCCACGCAGCACGTTGGCCTCCCACTCTCTAACTATAACAGCAACAAGGAACTGATTGATACAGCTTTATCTAAGGGAAGGCGCGCTATGAACGCATATGCTGGTACTACAACGCACATGAAAAATGCTACAAATCCACTCACAGCCTCAACACTGTATTGGTCCGTCAGCATTCCCTCTATGACATATGGCATGGAATTGGTGGCTCTTAGTGAGACTGACTATCGAGCCTTAGATCAAGGCCACCGTAGCATCTGTAAAAAGCTGCAAGGTCTGCCAGTTCACACACCCGATGCAGCTGTTCTACCCCAGCTAGGATGGCAAACGATTACCTCAACAATAATAATCGCCAAATTGATGTTTTTGTGGCAGTTACTGTTTCTAATGAACGGGTCTGTGTACCGCAGTATTGCTATTAAGAGAATCACCATGTATAGGCATGGTGCTAAACTTAACAGATTGTCGCCGCTGCGAGACATAATGGAGCTTGTGAATCGTTATGGAATAACAGACATGGTGTATCAAATCTTAGACAATGGTGCTAATCCATCGAAATTGACCTGGAAACGCTATGTTCGGAACATTGTACGGAATTGCGATTTGGATGGTTGGAGACGCGAGGTTAATACTTATAAGGAACTAATTCTCTATAAGGAAGTTATCCACAATGTGAAACCATGTATATGGTGGATAATAGCCAGGAAAGATTCAAGATTCATAAAGAGATGTAACTTAATGATGCGACTAATGGTAGGACAAGGCCGTTTAAGGGTAAACACAGGCGAATGGGAAGGAATACCGATGAGAGATAGATTCTGCGAAAGCTGCAATGAAGAGATTGAAACGCTCGAACACTTTGTTTTAAAATGTCGGCTCCACAATAGGGTTACATTAAGTTCGATTTTAGATGGAATACCAAACATAAGTGCAATGTCAAATGCTATGAAACTGCGAGCTCTCTTTGGGGGAGATCAGTGTATTAATGAAAGTGGACTTAAACGTGTAAGCACGATTATACAGAACATGTATCTCGCCAGGATTAAAGTCAATATGTAGGAACAGCATGGGATTAGTATAGACTCATAGATATATATGAACTTTCCCGTTGATTGTCCCCCTACTTGAGTGTGTGATTGAACACCGTGTGATCGATGGAACGTCAGTAAACTGAAAAACGTCAAATATGAATACAAGTGTGTTGTCAAAATGGTCTGCGGATCCAAGCTACGAGTTTCCCTGTGTACCATACATGTCAGCTCTAAGAGCTTATATATAATTATTATTTGAGTTAGAAGAGCTCTATCTTTTCTATTGTAACTTAAATTTTGATACAAGTTTTAATATTTCTGTAACATATAATTATTATATTATCTCCAATCAATGGAGGGGAAATAAATCTAATAATAAAAAAGTCACAGAATCGTGTCTTATATTTTACTTTATTGATTATACCTCAACAAAAAAACCAAGAAAATAAGTAATTGTCGAATATATCATTTCACAGAACTGTATAATAAACGCACTTACTTGATAGAGAATATTTCGAAGATTTAAGAAAGGCACTGTCACTTCGAACATTAAGAACAGCCCCACTATAAAATCCCCCTTAGGTCCTCTAAAATGCTGCAAATAAAAAGATTTAATACATGTATTCAAGGGTTGGTGTAATTTCTCAACAGCCCCACTATAAAATCCCCCTTAGGTCCCCTAAAATGCTGCAAATAAAAAGATTTAATACATGTATTCAAGGGTTGGTGTAATTTCTCAACAGCCCCACTATAAAATCACCCTTAGGTCCTCTAAAATGCTGCAAATAAAAAGATTTAATACATGTATTCAAGGGTTGGTGTAATTTCTCAAGTCCCCAGTATGACAAACTTTTTCATCATATTACTATTCTAATTAGAATGTATTTAACAAGAATTTTACACACTTATTTTCACATTTTTTTTAAGATAAAATATTGGATTATTTGCATATCAAAATTTTCACATTTTCAATTCATTGAAAATGTGACTTCTAGGTCAGGCAGATTCCCCACAGACCCCATGTTATAAATTCACAAAAAGTAAAATATTGTAACAGTTTGGCCTATTTTTGTGGATATACGTGGTAGCGTGGCTAATAATAGGCCCACTGTTTAGTAAACGGTGTTTACTTGGTGAGTTACACGGCACACGTTAAATGTGCGATTGTCCCTAAAGAATTAAACAGACATACAATTAAATATAAAATATAAAACAGTATATTGTGGCGTTTATAAGCCCAAATAAAGATGTACATAAAATTTCAAGTCTAATTGTAAGAGTGTTACGATTTTAATATCTCTCTCAAAACTCACAACTCAAAAGTCCATATAAGCTAATATTTATCACTAATGAAACAATATCCAGAGTCCATATAAACTAATAATAATCACTAATAACACAATATCCAGAGTCCATATAAATTGAAGCTGATGATCAATATATCACTGTTGTATCTCCAATATTAAAAGTTCATATATGTTGTAATACTTGTACGTCTTGTATTGTACTTGTAACTTGAACCTGAAATAGTAATCTCCTGGATCCTCTTCTATGTAGTGTAGTATGATTCAAGTTTGATGATGTGAAATCATCTAAGTCAACTATCAGCTCGGTAAATGGCTATCTCCTGGATCCTCTTCACTGTGTTGTATTATAATTCAACTTTGATTATGTGAAATAATCTAAGTCAAACTATTACTCCGTAAACGTAAATCTCCTGGATCCTCTTCTCTGTATTGTAGTATAATTCAACTTTGATTATGTAAAATAATCTAAGTCAAACTATCAGTTGTGTAAACTCCTAAGTCCTGGATCCTCCTCAATGTGTTGTAGTATAATTCAACTTTGATTATGTGAAATAATCTAAGTCAAACTATCAAGTTGTGTAAACTCCTAAGTCCTGGATCCTCCTCAATGTGTTGTAGTATAATTCAACTTTGATTATGTGAAATAATCTAAGTCAAACTATCAGCTCTGTGAACGGCTATCACTTGGATCCTCCTCAATGTAGATGTATATTCTAACTTCAATGACACAAAATCATCAAAGTCAAAATATCTCGCTGGATAATCTGCTAAGTCCTGGAACGTCCTCTCTGTAGATGTATATTCTAACTTCAATGACCCAAAATCATCAAAGTCAAAATATCTCGTTGAATAAACTGCTAAGTCCTGGAACCTCTTCTATGTAGATGTATATTCTAACTTCAATGACCCAAAATCATCAAAGTCAAAATATCTCATTGAATAAACTGCTAAGTCCCAGAACCTCTTCTCTGTAGATGTATAAGTCAAACTATCACAATCTTCAAACTACCAAGTCCAAGAACGTCTAATATACGGCATCAACTGCTAAGTCCATGTAGCCTGCTTTCTTCACAACTAAATAATAAGGCTACCTACAAATATAGCATGCACACAACGACATATGCAAAAATATAACATGTGAAAATATTTGACCTCTAAAATGACTAAGTTCATTTAATGTTAAGTGATACTGATATTAAAATATTCTAAGTTCAATATTTCTCTTTCCAAAAACAACAAAGTCCAAAATAATGTTTTACCAAATATTGACTAAGTTAATTTCATACTAAGTTATACTGATGTTAAAATATTCTAAGTTAAATATTTCTATCTCCAGAAATAACAAAGTCCAAAATAATGTTTCACCAAATACTGACTAAGTCCAATAATGTTGTAAATCGTCTAAGTTCCTTGATGATCAAAATAGCTTGTTTCTCAAACACAAGTTATGTCAGCATTTCCTCTCAGTCCATGAAGGCTGGACAATACGTCTAATGCTTTGCGCTGGGGATAGCTTCACCCTGTTGAAGTTTTGTCCAGTCTTGTAGATCTCCTTTACTTCCAGTGCGATAAATAAACTAAGTTTCACACACTTAGCTACATCAAAGTTTTCCCAAAATTCCAAGTTCCAAAAATAAACTAAGTTCCTCACACTTAGTTTCCTCAATCTGCCCTTGTATACTGCAAACGTATAGCTTGGCTCATCAGATGTATACTACTAAGGTACAGCTTCTATCTTCATGTGTATACTGCAAACGTATAGCTTCAAGACCACAAAATCAACTAAGTTCTATAAAACTTAGAAGATTTTAGCTGTTTCCCGAAATTCCGCTCTGGAGGTCCTTCCTCGACAACATCTGGCATCGCACTGACGATCCTTCAACAGCGAGATACTTATATAGGCCCGATGACGTCATCGATTTTCGTACAAGATTTCAACTGTGAATTACAGCTTATTTACGCCATATTTCGCTTCAATATTGATCATACAACAAGATTATAATATTGACTCAAGAAATATAACAGTAATTAACCACTATCTAGTCTAATTTTCCTTCGATTCAATCGAATCAAAAGCAGGAAGTAAAATAATAAAGTTGTCATGTTAGACTACCGATCAACTACAAATTAGACTGCCAGATAAGACTGCCCGATCAACATAAACAAAATCGTGATCAAATAAATAAAACATGTGAACTATTTCACCTCTGTAAGTACAACCTAAGTGCTGCAAATGATACTACATTTATAAATCTTAATAATCTCAATAGGAAATTACTTTCCAAGTGTAATAATTGCCTAATGTACAAAAATACAACACTTTATCAAAAATCAAAAATTTTGCATTTTCAAAATTCCGTTACACTCCCCCCTACCAAGATATTGGTACGCCCTCGTACCAAACTAAGACATAAATGTACTTTCTAACTAACTACAAACTTACAAAATATCTAACTTGCCAAAAATGTATAACATGTCAAATATGTTTAACCTATCAAATATGTTCAACCCCGGGGTTAACTAACTATCAAGTTTAACTATCAACTATCAACTAGTTTCTAACTACTTGCATATCTAACTATCCAAAGTTATCTAGATATCTAACAAGTTAACACCTAACTATGTTTCACTTCACATATTTAAAATTATACTTATGTGAATTTACTCTCTCTTGTAGCGCTTCCTGGATGATTGAGACCTGGACTTCCATCTACTGTCACGAGATCTGGATCTCCAATCACGATCCCTGCTAAGCCTTCTGTGACGTGGAAAACTGTCCAAAAGGTCTGCTTCACGAGTACGGTTTGACCTGTTAAGCTCATTTGATGCTCTGTGTCTCAATCGGGAATGTCTATCAGAAAAATGAGCTGATCGCTTTCTGTCATGTCGGTATTCTGATCTCCAATCATGTCTGTAATCAGGTGACTTTGAATATGGCCTCGACTGATGACTATCTCTGCTTGTTGAAACCTCAGCCACAAAATCATCCAAGTGTCTGGGACGTTTGCGCTCCCTCCTGGAAGGTTTGTCATCCACTTCCTTCTTGGGTGATGTCTTGACAGTTTTCTTGTAGTCTGGAGTTTCATCTTGGAGAATAGGTTGAGAGTCTCTTTCAGGCTCTACTTCAGGTTTTTCTTCCTGATCCTTCCATTTCACAGTCTTAGAGATATGCTTAGTAGAACAGGGAACCTTGTCAGTAATTAACTCCTGCACGGGGTCATCTGTAAGAGGTTCCATTACTATCTCTGGCTGTGACTTTGGTATACGCCAATCATCTGGCAACTCAGCTTCATATGGCTTGAGCATATTAAAGTGAATAACTCTTGGTTTCTTGCCTTTGATCTGTATTCGATAGGTTACATCAGAGATCTTCTTGATGATTTGGAAAGGACCCTTCCATTTACTTTCCAATTTTGGCGACACTCCTTTCCTTTTGGTATTGTCTAAATACCAGACAGCATCTCCTTCACTGTAAGAATGTCCAGCCAACTTCCGATCATACGCCACCTTCTGTCTTTCTGCACTGAGTTTAAGTTTCGCTCGTGCACGATCATGGGCTTCACTAAGTTTCTCTCTTAAATCAGTGACGTAGTCACTTTCCTCAGTATCCATTGGTGGGACTTCAATTAATGTCTCCAGAGGAAGTTTCAGCTCTCTACCGAGCATCAACATAGCTGGTGTCTCGCCTGTGGATTCATTTACTGCCGTTCTGTAGGCCATTAATGCAAACGGAATTTGCAAATCCCAGTCTGTCTGGTGGGGTTCTGGCTGAAGGAGCTTAGCCAACGAATCTAACAACGTCCGGTTGTAGCGCTCTATCATCCCATCTGACTGGGGATGGAATGGTGTTGTCCTCGTCTTTTCTATACCCAGCAAGTTGCACATCTCTTGAAAGACTTTCGCTTCAAAGTTACGTCCCTGATCGGAATGTAGGGTTGCAGGCATTCCTAGTCGACATACAACTTCAGCCACTATCTTGTCAGCAACAGTACGGGCCTCTTGATTGGGTAAAGCGAAAGCCTCCATCCACTTGGAAAAATAGTCCCCACATACAAGTATAACTTTGTTTCCCCGAGGAGTTTCCGGGAAAGGCCCAAGGATATCTATGGCTATCCTTTCCATGGGATTACCAACTCCATGTGTCTTCATAGGGGCACGATATGGTTTCATGGGTTTCTTCCTTGCACCACAAATCTTGCAAGTTCGCACAACAGCTCGTACATCATTACGTTGTTCATGCCAATAGAAGTGCTGTCGACTCCTCATAAATGTCTTCTTAATGCCAAAGTGTCCAGCAACTTTGTTACTGTGGCTCATCTCCAACACTATTGGCCTAAGAACCGCTGGTGCCAATATCTGAAGTGATGCAGTATGTCCTTC